TCTATGATTTCTTTTCAAAACTTTACCAAAATACTATAATAATATTGAGTAGGTTTGGCACTTTTCGCTCGCATACGCGCAACTCTCTCGGCCCGCGCTAAAAGGGATAAAACACGGAATCGCAAATGTCATCAAGAATTCACAGCTTCTCTGCAGCTTCGATTCGCGATTCGGAGAAATTTTCCTCCGAAACCTGTGGTCGACGGAACGTCCGTAAACATTAGGATGCTCGGTCCATCGAAATCAGTTGACTGAACGGGACACGTAGACCCGCGCAGCGACTTCTGAAGAATATTCGTTGCAGTTCACAAAGCGGAAACGAAGTTGCAGATTTTTTTTTGATTGTCGAGTCGCTCGGCGTGCGAGGCCCGTGAAATTTTTACAACCTCGCGAGGACGCTCGCGCGACGTTCTCAACGTCGAATAATAAAACGATGAAACGAAAAAAAGAAAGAACGAGAGAAAGAGAAACGGAAAGAACTCTCGCGACGCGAACGAACCCTCTGTAATTGTAAATTATAGCGCGCCCCGCGTTTCTTTTTTTCCTTTTCTTTTTTCTTCGCTTTTTTTACGGCGGAACGAGGTCGAACGATGGGGACCTGGAAGAAAACGGCCGCGTTTTAATGATGGAAACATTTTTAATTAATTTCCGCGACGAGGGAAGCGGTCGAGCCGCCCCTTTCCGCTCGGGCTTGCGCGAAACTTCAGACGCTTTGAGCGTCGATTCTTTCGGTATATCGGCTTGTTATCTTCGGGCCGCTCTTTCTTCCTCTTTCGCCCCGACGTACGCGCGAACGTCTCGCGAGCGAGCGTCTCTCGTTTGACGCTGCAGCTGCTCGGCCGTGAAAGAGTACGGCTAAAAATTATATCGGCGCCTTTCCTCGCCGCCGACTGTGATTATTTATTGCTCGTCACGGTTTGTCCGAGCGTTCAGCGTCTTTATGTCGACTCCCATTTTGATTGGCTACTTCCCTTCCGTTCTGTTACGGAAACGAAACGTTTGCCGGGAAACGCACAGTTTCGACGTGCAGCGAATTTTTAATTTTTTTTTATTCGGAAGAGATGAAACTGATCGTTCGGAAACGCGTTTTCACCCTTTCGCGAGAAAATGAGAGACGAATTTTTGACGTTTGGAGTCAGAAGATAGGTTTGGAAGAACTTTTTTTATTTTTTTTTTTATTTTTAGGAGACTTTTTTATTGACAAAATAATGAATCGAGTGTCCTTTTTCAATGGTCTCATAAAATGAAATTTTTCGGGAAAACGAAACAACTTTACAAACGACCAACAATTTTATTGATAATACGTCGAGGTTATTTCAGGGTTATGTCAAGGTTCAAAGAATTTAAAGAATTCATTATTCGGTGAAAAACAAAAGTCGAAATACTATAAATAAAAATACGTTTAATAACACGTGTAGGGATCGAGAAAATATTACCGGCATTATTGAGATGCTTAAAAACTGTTACAAGACAAATGTCATCGAGCATGAAGTATGTTACATCGTAATTAAATATTACACTATAAATAGAGTTCTGATAGAACTGTTTAACACTTTATTTGCTCAAATTTGAAACTCGATTATTACTCTAATCTATTGTACCTCTTTAATTTCTTTAGGTTTCGCAATTTGTCAGGCAACTCAAGTTTCTAATTTCAGTTCGGGGTTAAATAAAATACTGTAATCTCATAACACTTTTTAGGCTGGGCGTGGCAGTCAAAGTGCTAAGAAAAATATATCACTCAAAAACGCATTAAAAAAACTGATCCATAGCGATTTTTGACTTACGAATCTATATTTTGATTTGCCCGCAAGAAGATCAATAAAAAAAACAATAAACCCCCAAAAAACAATAGCATAAAAAATCGGTATAGAATAACAGTTTCTCGCAACACCATTCCACGACTAAACGAAACAATACAGGGTGTCACAAAAATGTCTCGCAATCCAGAAATAGCGCTTCCTGAGGCCATTTGAAGCAACTTTCTCCTTTACAAAAATGTTCTCCAACGCTTCGTTTACGAGTTATTAACGAAAAACCGTGACCAATGAGAAACGAGATCAGCTGGCGCGAGACAGCCGAGCCAACGAGCGGAACTGGACGTCGCGCGCTCGTTGGCCGAGCCACCACGCGCCAGTCGAGCTCCCCCCTCATTGCTCAGTGTCTTTTTGTCAATAACTCGTGAACGATGCCTCGGAGAAAATTTTTGTAAAGGAAAAAGTTACTTCAAATCACCTCAGGAACCCGCCACTTCCGGATCGCGAGACATTTTCGGATATTATATTATCGCATATTACCCGCGTCACAGTTGAGGGAACTAAGCGGCAACTTCGGCATAATTTACCATAATTTGCGGATTCGTAGATCGAAGCGCGTACTCTTAAACCGCGTTTTTCAACGCGCAGTTTCATCGGCGTCGACGGGAGCATGAAATCGAGCGTTACGCATACGTTATACGGTTTATCCGTCCGCGTTATTTCTTTCGTTTTGAAGCATTGCCCCCGGCCGGACTGGTTTCCCCGACGAAAGGCGGAGGGAAAGGTGGCGAAGAAAAAACCGAGCACGATAAGTACACTACGAGATCGTTTACGTGCGGTCCGATCTAATGATCTGTCATTAACATATTATATAGGCGGGCCCGGCGTGCCCGGCCGTGCCGTACCGGCGAGGTTTACGAGCCGCCGCGCGTATTCTAAAACAGTTACTCAAAATTTGCATGTCCGTGCACGCGTCCCTAGTGTGAACCGGACGTAAGAGAACTATTATTCAAATCCGACCTATTTTGCCCCGGCGCACGAACGCTCCGGCCGAATTAGACGAGAGACCGTCGATCGTTCCGGGAAAAGGCCGCCGTTTTCGGAACAATTATTCGCCGCCTGGGATGGGGTTGGTTGTGTATACACCACCATGAGACCCGTGGCACGGGGCCGGCCGAGTACAGGACAGGTGAATAACGGTGACGGAAATGGGCACCACTCGAAGATAACGGCGGACGGAATGGAGATTGAAAGGATCCTGATTCAACGGCGTTCACTACCGCAACTATTTCGACACTTACGACTTCCCCGTAAAATATTAAACGAACAGCTATTTTCATTGATAACTTTCTCATGGGGCTGTGTTCCCGTACACGGTTGTTAACGTTGCCCGATAAAAATTACGTACAATGTTGAGGTTCCGTGTGTTTCTAGCGAAAATTAATGGATCTGTTATGCGGTAGAAATGTTAGGAGAGTTTAGAACAATGTTGCGGGTAGTGTGCATAGGTGTGCAAGTTCTTAAAAAATTATTGATAGCGGAAATCAATGTTTAGTTGATTAACCGTCGATGCGGACGCGATCGTGAGACGCGTTTCGTTTGTTTCTCGTCGCATTGGACGGCAACGCGATTTTCTTTCGTTACGTGGCATGTAATCAGGACACAGCGTGGAACCGGTTAATTCGACGATCTCCGGTATATACATTTTCCTATTGTAAATAGAAGATAAATTTTCAATTTTGTAATTCACTATAGTGCGATATCTTTGGTAACAATCTCCTATGTGCATTCTGGGTTTACTTGGACAAGTGTCACAGTATTCACTTTGCCAAATAGAGTTACTAGATATTTCTTTCAAGTTTAGAACATTTTCTGCGTAATCGTTGGTTTCCTTTATAATTTCATTTACCAATTCGTCCGTGAAAAATAATTTAAAATATTGCATCGGCTGTTCAATGTTTGTAGGAACTTGTGGTCCAACGACCTGTGGCAATACACTAAAAGGTATTCTATCCGGAATATGTAATTCTTCCGTAACATCGCGCCATTCGTCTAAGTATTGTAACGAATCTTCGCTTTCGCTTTCAATAATTCTCATTCTTCGTCTCTTTGGTAGTATAATTTCGCTACTACTACTCGAAGTGTCAGAATCATAATCAACATTGTGTTCCACAATGTCTTTTAACTCTTCAAAATCAAACGCGTCTTCGGGATCGCTCGGCTCTAAATTCTCATCGTAATATTTATTTTCCTCCATGTTGCTAACCATAGAAAAGGTCAAAAAATGGTTTAATCGTAATGGTACAGACTTAGCACGTTTCAACTACGGATAACAATTGCTAACGCCGACGATAACGTATGCTAAGAACATTTGGCTCCGCAGCGGAGCCTTCGGAGTTATGGAACAAATGACGAATGTCTCCGTAGCGGAGCCTTCGGAGCGCTAAGGGTTAAGCATTCGAGTAAATTTAGGCACACTGTAAACATCAATTTTCGTTCCCTTCTAAGAAATGATTGCGATCGAAAAATTTCTAGTCGCAGCAACCGCGAAGAAAATGGTATGTCAAGGGGTTGATATCGAGAGAAATCGGATGCAGAAATATACCGCGCAGATGTTGTTTTTCCAGGGAAACGGAGTTGTATTTTTTACACGCATATACTTCGACGAGAGTATAAACAGAGCGCAACAAATGAATGGTAATTTTTGTCCGCGGCGCGCGACGATCCTCTTAAACGGAGCTTTAACCCTTTGCACTCGAAGCTATTTTAAACGGAACAAATGACAAATGTCTCCGTAGCGGAGCCTTCGTGTTAAAAAATGAACGCGTGAAATATGAAACAACGAGGCAACTTCGAAAGAAATGAAGAACTCCCACGTTTTATTCTCACTTCGTTGAAATTCTTCGGATGAAAAATGACTCGCGGAAGATTCAAAAGATTCAAAAATAATCATTTTAATTAATTTGCAGCGTAAGTATTCGATATTTCTTATTTCGGCATCGTTGTGCGAATCATGCGACCGAGTTTCACATGGACATCGTAATTCGCTAATAAAACGTTCGCGGTATTTATATATATATTAAAACTGTGTGCCAAGGGAATGCATTAATTAAATTAAAAGCAAATATTTCACGGGTGGTCGAATCACGTGGTCGCGCTAATAAAATAATTTAGGAATTCGAATCGATATCGCGTGTCAAAGGAGCGCGGGACTTGTTAATCGTTTTCGCATAATTTACTCACTCGTTATTACGTTTCCCGTAGCATTCGTTTCAACATGGTTGCCGCGGTGAATCACGGCGGGCGTCTTACCTGAAACAAAGAAAATTCGACGTTAGACGGACCCCGAGCTCGCGGAAACGTTAACGACCAGGCGCGCCGTGTTTGTTTCGGATCGCGTTATCGCGCTGTTCGTTCCGCTTTAATCTGTTTTCCGGCGCTGGAACGGCTGCCAAAAATTCGGGGGTAATCAAGACCTGGCGGCCGGCTAGCTCCGAATAAGCCTTTGGGAGCGTCAAAGCTCAACTTGGACACCGTGGCTCCTAATTTACCTTGACCTCGTCCGCCCTCGGGGCAACGTAACTTTTCTTTAATTAGGCTCGCTTTCGGCGATTCGCTCGTCTTCTATCTTCGCCTCTCTGTTCCGCACGCTTCCTTTTAACGTTGTGCCAAGCGAAATTCTCCGTAATTGATGCACGGCTTGTAGACAAAAATGGACAATTTGGGAACAAGAAATACGATTATTCGAGTCTCGCGGTAGTTATCGCGATTAGATTATTATTATTTAGTTTAGATTAGATGCGACGATCCTGCAAAATTTTCTGATTTAACTGAAGAGAATTGCTGTATAGAAAGATCCATACTTTATCCGAAGCAATTTCGGTGAATCAGAAATATATTAATGTTCTCAATTTCTTTCAAATTATTCGCCGATCCATATTTCGCATGATCATTTATTATACGGCCGCATAAAATTCGCAGCTTCGCGATGGACATCGTGGTAAGAAATGACACAATTTTTTTAACCGTCTACATTGTTCTCATTTGCTGGAAATATTAGTCGATTATAAATTGATTTCCACCCACGATTCTTTTAAGAAATTGTATACTACTTACGATGGTATACTAAATTCTCTCGGCCTTTTTACTGCTTCATACATCTGTTAATTTTCATTAGAAATGGACAAAACTGTGAAATCTTTCTATTTTAATGTTTTTAACGTATTGTCTCCATTGCGATGTTTTCCATACTCTAATTTCCATCTCTAATTTTCCATACTAAATTCTCACTAATCGACGCTCTGGTTTCGCATAAAAATGGTTAATTTGGGAACAGAAGATACGAATTGTCCATTTTCGTTTACAAGCTGAGGGTCAATTAGGGAGAATTTATTTATTTACATTTATGTTACATCACTCTTTTGTGCAAATACAAAATGATAGAACATATTAGAATTAATTAGACCGTACAGATCAAATTTGCCGAATGATTGCATTGGCGCGGGCTTCGTAAAATGAAAATTGTTCATTTTGGAAGCACCATAATTGTCAGCAGTTTGTAACAGCAAAAGGCTGATGACTTATTGTACAAAAGTAACAAATAACAGAGAAGACGTAACAACAATTTCACGAGTACAGTAAATTCTCCCTAATTTTCCTTCAGATTGTACACAAAAAATGGACAATTTTGGAACAGACGATACGATTATTCGAGCCTCGCAGCTCATTCTCATAGTCGCCGATTGTTAACAATTATAACATTGAGGCTTCCGTTCAATATGGTAACGATTAATCTCAATTAATAAATATACTTATTTATATATTATATATACTTATTTATATTATATATTATATATACTTATTTATACTTGTCATAAAGAAACGGCAATTTTACATTTAACAAACAAAAACACTTCTCCTACGATTTCGGTTAAAATGCTTGCGTGAAAACGTGTTAATAAATATCGCGCGTCATAGAATAATTCTAGAAATTCGTAAAAAAATTCATACAAAGAAACTGCAGCCGGTGCGATCGATAAAACGCGTGCAAAATTGATCTTAAAAACGGATCGACGCGGCTAAGTGGTTAAGGGTGCATCGTAAATGTAGAAACAAGCAGGAACGCGATCGTAGAGAAGAACTTCGGCAAGAAAAGTTGAGGTTGGGAATGCGAAGTAGCATTCTCGGGCAAAGCAGCATGAAACTTTTGCGAATACAGGTTACCGAAGCTGGCGTAGTTCGAATTGTTTTCGAGCGACGCATAAACTAAAAACGCTAGAGCTTCTCGAACAGTGGAGCTAAACGACGAGGACCGCGCGCTATCGAAATCAATATAGTATAATAATTTCGGAAGAGAATTATTATCGGCCGAAAAATGGTCTTACCAATGTCCATGAGCCCAGACATTCTGCTTGTCTGACCATATATCGCCCCGGCATTGTAGTCGTCTGACAATTGACCAGCCCTATCTCACTTTCCCGACCGTAGATCATCCGTATTTTACTCGGTTGACTATAACTCATCTTCATTCCGCGTGTCTGATCATTTGTCACATTTATTTCACTTGTCCGACTATAAATCGTGCTCGTTCTACTTGTCCGACCATGGGTCAACGCGTTCCACTTATCGAATGATTGTCGCCGGTATCATACGCGCTAATAATTATTGTCACGACGTGTTGTGCATGAAATTTCTGTGCGGGAAATTCTCCCGAATTTTCCTTCAACTTGCGAACAAAAATGAAGAATTTGGGAAGAGCCTTGCGGCTCATTTTTTTACAGGGAGACCCGAAATTATTGTACGAGCGAGAAAGGAGAGGTTCCTCGGGTCATTTGAAGCAACTTTTTCCTTAGCGAAAATGCAATCCGCGGCTTCGTTTACGAGTTATTAACGAAAAACAATGACCAATGAGAGATCGCGTACGACTGACGCCGCGCTCTCGCGACTACTGCCGCCACGTCAGACGGCCGGCGCGACGCGGCATTGGCCGCGAGGGCAGAGCGCCGGCCGCACTCGCTCTCCGATTGGTCAGTGTTTTTCGTTAATAACTCGTGAATGGTGCCTCGGGGAAAATTTCTGTAAAGGAAAAAGTTACTTCAAATGACCAGAGGAACTCCTTATTTCCCGCTTGTATAATAATTTTGCGACACCCTTGTCAATCGGTAACTATAAAAACGAGGCTCGAATAATCGTATCTCCTCCTCCCAAATTGTCCATATTATTGTACAATCCGAGCGTCAGTTAGCTTTATTATTTACTCTAGTCGATATTTTCGTAAATGACCAATCGATAATTCACAGAAAATTGCATTCTTTCCGAAAACGCATCGACATCTGTCTTTCGCTCCTCTTCCGGTTACGTTCATTCGCAAGCAATCTTGCAATAAAAATTGCGCTTCGCGTTATCAGCGGCACTGTTATTATTTTAACGAACCCGCACCGCGAACGATCGTCGAAAAGATTCTCGCCGAACGCATCTCCATTCTCATTCACCGTCGAACGCCGCCGCGATTGTGTTTCACCCGCGGCCTCGTATTTTAAAGCCATCGAATTGCAACGCGATCGGGAAACAACTTTTACAATATCCACCGGCGGAAAAGACCGGCGAACAACTTTTCCTGCGGACCGCATGAAATATACAAAAATCTATTTTACAGAATTCTAAAGAAAGTTCGGAAGGTGATCGACCAAACGACCGGACGTATTTTTAACAGCGACGTACAGGTTTTAGCGCGGCGCCGCGCGTCGCGGCGCGGGGCGGTGAGGGGGGAGGAGCCGAGCGCGATGAATCGTCTGGAAGTGTATAGCGAACCGAGCGCGAAAGTTTCGCCGCAATAACGTGTAGTTTGACAGAAACTTTATCAGATAGGATCTGAATTTACGGGGCGCATTCAGTCGGCGCTGGTCGTCGGATATCGAGCACCCCACGATCTTCACCGCGGTAGTAATTCCCGATTAATCATACTGTCTCGAAGTACGGTCGGCGTCGAGGGCAGCAATTGCACTTTCCCAGCCACGATGTTCGCGGCGCGACGCGGTGCGGCGTCGAGTTGGACGCACGGAAGGCCTACGGCGCGTTGAAAAGGGCTGCGTTGCGGGGCCCGAGGGCGCGCAAGAGGGTAAGAATCAAAGCGAATTAGAGCCGCGCCGCCGGTGTACCCGCCCTACGATTGACACTTAACCCGTAAATTGCTTACTCTCCCCTTCCAATAATGACGATCCCGCGCGCTATCGTTTTACGCCGCGCCAGCCCCCAGATCGCCGACACACGAAACACTATCGACGATGGCCGCCGTCAAAGGAGAGTCTAGATTAGACCGGCAACTACATCGATCCTGTGTTCGCGCCTAGACCTCCGCTATGGTGCTCACGCACGGACGACGGCAGGACGTGTTTCTCTTGTCCTGCTAGCCCAACCGCCGATACATGCGCCGCCGATGTTCAACGTTATTCGAGTCGTTTCGAATGAATATTAATCGAATATAAGTCTTCGCGAATGAATCATTGTTATATGGATTACATTATTGTATA